AACGTGTAATGAATCACATAGCAAATAAAGATTCTTTACCTGATGCTAATATAATTGCAAATCAATCATCATACTACCAGCAGCAGTATCATCATCAGCAACAGCAACAGCAACAGCAACAGCAACAGCAACAGCATCAGCAACAGCATCAGCAGCAGCAGCAGCAGCAGCAGCAGCAGCAGCAGCAGCATCAGCAGCAACAACAACAGCAGCCGCAGCAGCAGCAGCAATACCAGAGGCAACAGCATCAATACCAACAAGAGCAACAACAGCAACAAAAATTTGCTCCACCATCTTCCAAACCTTCTCCATTATTAAACGATTCTATATCCGGTATTACTATTAAAGTAATTGGAAGTAACAAAAAAATAAATGATAAGGGCAAAGAAGTTTTAGCATTTGTGATAATTGTTGGTAAATCAAAAGTGGTGGATGGTAAAATTGTTGATATGGAGAAAGAATTATGGAGAATTGAAAAATTATATTCTGATTTCTTGGGGTTAGATAGTAAGGTAACACGACATAAATAAATAAATTGTGTGTATTCGTATATTAACTTAGAATTAATATTTATATATATATTAACAATAGTTGAAACAAAAGCAGCACAAAAGTGTTACACAAAAAATTGGCAAATTACCTGATAAAACTCTTTTTAGTAATAATGCTCCAAGTAAGGTTGATCAAAGAAAGGTTAGTCAGTTATATTATTATTACTACTACTATTATTATTGATTTGTTAACTTTATATTGATTTTTATATCCATTTAACAATTAATAGTTGGCTTTGGAACAATATTTGCTACATGTAATTTCTTTAAATTTAAGCGATTCTAAAGATTTATATGATTTTCTAAGTTCAAACGTTCTTGAACCAAATGACAAAGATAATCAAGTTAGTAATTATATCAAATAAAATAATAAATAAATACTTGTATTAGAATATATTTAACAAGTTTACTAAATAATAATATTAATTATTATTTTTGTAATATTAAGTTACCTGGACGTAAAGAAGGTTATCTTACCAAGAAAGGCAAAAGTTTTGGTGGTTGGAAAAGTAGATATTTTGTATTAAATAGTCCGCTTTTAGAATATTATGAAAGTGTATGTTGTTGAATCTTTTGTTTTATTTAATTGATATTTGTTTATTTTCCAAAATTATAAAATATATTTACTATCAAATAATCAAACAATTAAAATTATAGAAAGAGGGTAGTCAACTTGGGTTTATTCGTTTAACCAATGCACAAATTGGTAGACAAAGTAATGCAAATAGTGAATCAGATAAAGATGGTGAAAACTCTTATAGACATGCCTTCTTAATATTAGAACCAAAACTACTCAGTTCCAGGAATACACATACACGACATGTTTTATGTGCAGAAAGCGATTCTGAAAGAGACGCGTGGATAGAAGCATTACTACAATATGTTGGAGTAAATGAGGAAGAAGCAACAGAAAAATCGAAAAAAAAGAAAAGCAAGTTGAAAGGAAGTATTTCTCAACCTGATAGAAATGAACACACTGATAAGCCTATTACTTCTGATGTTATTTTACAACAATCTCAAAAAGATTTAGAATCAAATAATGATGATAATAATAATAATAATAATAATAATAATAATAATAATAACAACAACAACAGTAACGGTAATGGTAACGATTCTAGATTACAACAATTACATCATCATCAACAGCAACATCAACATCAATATCAACATCATCATAATGATGGAAATAATGGCTCAATATCAAGTATAACAATTACTTCGAGTGATGTTGTTTCATCATATGATGCATCATCAGGTCATCATCATCAAAAAAAACCATCGTTATCATCTTCTCAATTTAATAATGATCAAATCGATCCATCAAAAAACATACATCCAAGTAATCAACAACATTATCCTCCTCATCGTCAACAATCACATCCTTCTTCTCAGCAGTCTCATTTTACTCCTCATCATCAACAGTCACACCCTCCTCCTCATCACCAACAGTCACACCCTCCTCCTCATCACCAACAATCACAACCTCCTCTTCAATATCAACAATCACAACATTTCCAAACACAAACATCGCCATCGTTGTTAGGTGTTAGTGGTAGTAACAAAATGAATAGCAGACATAGTTTTACACCTCCAAGGGATGAATTAGAAAAGAATAGTGCACCTGAACCGAGGGATATTTCACCTCTTGGTAATAACAATAACAATAATCAAACAACATATTTAAATGGTCAACCAAACCTTAGAAAAGGTCAAAATGACGAACATAAGAAAGCAGCTAGGAAAACATTCTTTGGCACTATGTTTGGTATTAAAGAAGATAAAAAAAAAAATCAAGATCAGAAACCTGATGTTCATAAAGTCGTATTTGGAGTTCCACTTGATCAGGCTATTGCTGTCTCAAGAATAAAAGAAGGTTATGAGCTACCAGCTGTTCTTTATCGTTGCATTGAATATTTAGATGCTAAGGATGCAGCTGAAGAAGAAGGTATATATCGATTGAGCGGAGCAAATGCCACTATAAAAATGTTAAAGGATCGATTCAATACTGAGGGCGATGTTAATTTATTGGGTGAAGAAGAGTATTATGATGTGCATGCAGTGGCTGGTTTGTTGAAACTTTATCTTAGAGAATTACCAACCAGTGTACTCACCAGAGATTTACATTTGGAATTTGTACATGTTATTGGTATGCCATTTCAATTAAAATAAAATAAAAATTAGAGTTATATTATATTATATTTTACTATCAATGATAATAATTATAATAATAAATTTTTTTTTAGATTTACTTGATAGAAAAGAACGTATAAATGAACTTGGTCGATTAGTCTCTACATTACCATTATCTAATTACACACTGTTAAGAACATTAACTGGACACTTAATAAGAATTGTTCAAAATGCAGCTGTCAACAAAATGACCGCGAGAAACATCGGAATAGTTTTTTCACCTACACTTGGCATACCAGCTAGTGTGTTCAGTTTATTCATGGCAGAATTTGATTATATATTCTTCACTGATAGTGATGGTATTGCAGCACCAAGAACAATGGATGTACCATCAGAAGCACCCGATAATTCAAAGGTTATTTGTTTATTTTTTTACACAATTTTTTTAAAATAGTTTAAAAATTATACTAATAATGATTATTATTTTTACAGAATTCTCCTGATACAAAGAATCCTCCAATATCACTGTCACCTGTAACGGCTATTCGTCGTCGTGATATACGTGATGAAATTACAGGTAGAAATAATCGTAACAGTGTACATTACATGGATAGTGCACCAGAAAAAGTTGTAGGTTTAGAAAGAAAAATGACAGGTTAGTTTTTTGGTCCATGAATTTGATATATACATATAGTTCAATTAATGAGTGGCTAATAATATTTAATAATTGTAATTAAATATAGTTACTAAACCTACTCAGAAAGATGATACATCAGATGAAGAAGTTGTTAATGATCTTGCAATTCAAGCAGAACAAGATGATGATGCTTCATCAATAGACGAATTAACAACTCAATCTGCACCAATATCACCAAGATTACCTGTGGCTCGATACCCTAAAACGAACTCTATACCGACGTCAACATCGCTAAATAATGATTCAACGGAATCGAATGGATTATTGGATACAGGTGATTTGCGTAAAATGCGTCGATTAACAGTTCGTAATTTCACGGAAGGAAATTCAATATATGAAGAATTTGCCGAAAATCAGAAAATGATAGAGAATGAAAAAATCAATTCATCAACTGTTAATCAATCTATGAATAACAATCAAAATAATAATTACAACCATCATCAAAATAATAATTACAACAACAATAATAACAATAACAATAATGGTGGAAATATACGAAGTAATAATAATAAACCAAACATATTAATTAATTAACCGAATGTAAAACTTCAAGATGTATTATTATTTTCTATTATTTTCAATATCGTCATCCAACTTTTTTCTTTAATAGAGATTAATCATTAATATTTATTATTTTTAATAATAAAGTGTATTATTATTTCTTTAATAGAGATTAATCATTAATATTTATTATTTTTAATAATCAAGTGTATTATTATTTCTTTATATTTTATTTATGTTTTATTTATGATTTTATTTTTTTATTTTGTATATATAAATACATTATATATATAAAGAATATAAAGATTTATTTTTTTTATTATTATTGACTAATATATAAATAATTAATTCTAATGGATTTATAATAATGATTTTGAAAAAAGTATATATGATTAATATTTACAATTAACAGCCATCACATACTACTCAAACTCTTTCTTTAAATGTAGATCATGGATATTATATCTATTGCGATTGCCTATTATTATCTATATACATTGTTAATCTTCACTTAATAATAAAATCGAGGAAATTAAATGTGATGATCTAGTGGGAAATTGAAAACCATTTGAAAAGAGGAAAGAGCGTGATCAAAGGATATAGGTAATGGCAGCATTTTCTTCCATGCAATTTCTCTGGTAGTTTTTTTTAAAAAATAAATAGATTGCATCATCCCCATTAATAATACTAAGATCATGCGAAAATGAATTTTTTAAGGAACCAATTTTTCAGAGGGAAAGAACTGTGATAATTCACAAACTTGCCTATTAGTTATCACTAAACAATTAAGATACGATGAAGGTGAGAATCCCTTGCCCCAAAAGTCAATTTTCATAATAAGTGTAAAAGTTGGGTCGTTTATGCCCGTCGTTTGTTTTCATCCTATACGGTTGTGTCTTCTATTCTCCGAAATCATGAAACAAGAAGAAGCGTGAATTAATAATAACAATAAGCAAGGAAACGTAGTGTGTTGTTTACTTTGTCAATGGCAAGGAAACAGTAAAATCACCTTTCACTTCTCAATTGTAGGCCTTAAAAAGTCGTAAATAATAATGCATATATCAACTTGATCTTCGCACATTCATCTGGAGATTAATTTTGTATAAAACTTGCTGGGGCTAGGGTTTTCCAATCGGGATAGGCGTCTTCAGTGAGTCTTGTATAAACTCACAGCCCTCATCATAATCGGGACGATCCTTCACGTCTCTGGCAGAAGGAAACCTAGAATCATCCTTAATAATCGTCTGTCTGTCCAAAGAAATATATAAAAAAAAATTTCTAACAATTACTTTTGATTTCTCACTCCTCACTAAAATTGTTCAAAAGTTGAAAAAATGAAAAAAAACTTGCATATAATAAAAATCTTGTACAGGTGATTTTTTTAACTTGAAATAGCATCCAGCAAAACAACATCCGAGGTCTTTTGACCAAATTAGAGTTTTTACATAATATTATATTATAACATGTAGATTATATAACTGGTGAAAATGTTAGACCCTGTTTGCTTAATAAAAATTGGAGGAATTGTATATAGGCCGGATACCTTTTTTATATTCATGGGAAGAAAATACCCGGACTCAAAGTCATTATTATCATTGTCAATAATCTTCTTTTCATCTTCTCCTTCTCCATCCATCCATTTATTCTTTTCCATATTGACCCTGTTCTCGTAATCGAATATGTCTCGGTAGTAGAAATGTCACAGAAGTGTATCATCCATACATGTTCTTTTCAATAACGGGCAAGTAACAAGGCTATTTGGAACGTAAAATGTGGAGGATGCCTAATTTCTCATGAATAACTTTTATTTATTATTATAATAAAGAAATCTTAATTTATCATACATATTTTTCTAATATTGTTATTAAATTATTTACAACAATCTTTTACAAAAAGCAATTAATTTGCAAATATATAAAAATAAATACATCATACTTAATACATAATAATATAGATAACATCAAAGGTAAAATAAAAAACAATTATATTGACATTTTTGAATAAAACTATCAACTATATCATTTCCAGATGTCCAAGTATAAAAAGACTTTGTGTAGACTAATACATTTTCACAAAATCTTTTTGAATATCTTTATCCATTTGTTTAAATAAAATAAAAAACAATTATATTGACATTTTTGAATAAAATTATCAACTATATCATTTCCAGATGTCCAAGTGTTAAAAAGACTTTGTGTAGACTAATACAATTTTCACAAAATCTATTTGAATATCTTTTCGTGAATTTTTCTCCCCAAGTCAGCATTTCTTGCCTTTTAACAATTTCAACAAGGCTAGACGAGTTAAACTTCTGGTTGTAATGTTTCAATTTGTCAAGTTTTTATTTATTTTGGAGATTTCAAAATGTGTTTTAATACTTTTCTGAAAAGAAAATTTAATTATTTTTTACCCCTTAAAAAAAAATTTTTTTTTGTATTTAAATAAATCAAATAAATCAATCAATCAATCAATTAATCAATCAATCAAATCAATTTAATTATTTGTATAATAATAATATTATTATTATTGTTATTAAAGTTGTCAACCATTGGTTTGCAATAATGCAGTGGCTATTTATTATCTTGTTACATAATCACAGTTAATTAATTGGTTGGTTGATTGGTCTTCTTTCTCTTATTGGCACCAAAATATGATCAATCCCAGATGACACACAAGAAACAAGTTATTATTTTACACAGTCTAAATTAAATTTTAGGCACATCGTTTTGCAAAAAGCATCACTACATTCAAAGAAATTGGCGCACTAATATTAGAATGCATTAATGCTTTATCATTTATATTTATTTGTCTCTATCACTAAGAAATATTTACTTAAAACATATTCAATCGCAAGTTCGTCAATTTAAACAAAATATCAGAGACTAGATTGATGACGAAAACAAGAATAAAGAAATAATAATGTGGTAATGATACTAACTAGTCAACCTTTGATATTCTGGAGTAAATTTACCTTCAATTGATTAATGAATGGTATTAGTAAATCAACATTTACATCCAATGGGTAATCTGAACTATATAGAACGAAAGCTTGCCAATTAGTCTCTGTATCCTGCAGCCACTTTAATAACAATTTATATACAAGTAAGTAAACAGGTATATATTTTTATATATAAATATATGATACAATTACAAGATAAGAATCTCTATTATATCTATCTACTTTCATTCAATAATATATAATGACAAACTAAAGTATATTGTATTGAATTGGTGGGACTAGAATCTGTCAAAAGAATCGTCGATTAAAGATCTACATTAGTATTACGTCAAAAATTCCATCTTTTGATCGCGAAAATTCAATTCATATTTGGGATGATAATAAACATCAATTAAACCTTCCTGTGACACTTTATTATTGATAAAGAAAACAATAATGATTAATATATCGACTTTTGCTTTTGTGTTACAATATATCAACAAATTCGTGGTTTTTGAATCTGAATTATGATTTGATTTGTTTTAACTTGATTAAACGAGGTTTATTTTCTTTTTTGCATGACGAAAAAATCTCATTTTAATAAAATAAAATAAATATTTATTTGGAATAGAATTCCTTCGTGCATTTAGTATGTTAATAATGAAAATTCAATGACTATTATGTTTAAACATACATAGCCAAATAAAGCCAACGTAAATCACCATAAAAGTCCATATAATGAATGAGTCAGTTAGTCTTTGAAGAATTAGCAAACAGAATCGGTATTAATATGAGAATAATTTATTTTTTTTATTCAAACTTTGAAAAAAAAAGAAAATAGGCTCCAACAAAACTGCTATGTAAGGGTCACACTCTCAATAAACTATCAATTCATCTATTTCTGGTGACGATCGATATGTATGGAATAAATATTAAATTGAGTGTTAATTCATACATTTTCCATATCTTTTTCTTTCTTGTAGGAATTCAGAAAGTAAGTGTATTAATATGTAGTTATGACATCTATCATCTTTGGATATCGTTAAAGATGGAGAATTGTAAGTTAATCGACCTTTGTGCAATCGATTTTTATTCAATAGATTAATTAAAATTTTGGGGTGGGGTGCTTGGATATGAAATTCTGATTGGCTAATTTGAAATTCACAAAAATTTCATTTTCACGTACAACGTCCATATTGTCTTCATCTACAAATTCCACCACCACAGCAACAACAAACACAACGATTCCTTCTTCGTCTGCTCCTTCTGAAAGGCTGTTTTCTTATGATAAGATCAAGTTTTGTAGTGTTCTTAAAGTATAGAGATTTGCTTTTGTATGTAAAAACAAGTCTTTTTTTATCAGAAGATAATGTTTCATTTTATTATGATGTAAGTTTATTATATATTTAAATATTAAAAAAAACAATGTGATAAAAACATTACTACTATTTTTCTTTATCGATTCGAAGAATTCCGAAATCTTTCCTCCTAGTTATATTACATTTTTAATCGCTTGTTTACACACGACACCACACCAATAACATGTTGTTGGTAAAAGATCTGCAAGTAACAAATCACTTTGTTGCGAAGCAATTAGTAAAAAGTTCACAGTAGTCTATTTGACTATGTTCTTTTTTTGCAACGAAACAAAGAATTGGCTAATAATTATATCTTGGCATTCAACAGTTAATTAACATTATTTAATTGTTACGATTTGCCGAATTAATAAATACTATTTATTATTGCATTTAAACAAGATCGAAAAAATACAATTTGTACTTGAAATAAAAAATAAATTGAAAAAGCTAATAACATATAAAATTATTCTAAAAAATAAAATAAATATTAAATGGCTTCATGCTTGTAGTATTTATTTCTTGTAGTATGGCTTCTTGTAGTAAAAATAGAGCGTCTGGAGCAACACCACACTTTTTTTGAAGTAAAAAATAATAATTATTAGAATTACGTTATATTTAATATTTTAATATTTATTTTTAATTAGATTATTAGATAAATCTACCTTTCTAATTCGGCATTATCGGTCGATGACTTTATATTTTATTATATTTATTTCATTTTTTTAAAAAATTTTATTTGTTACGAATTGTTTTTGAAATTGATGTAAAGTTAATTTTTGTATATTGAAGCAAGTTAAGGGAGAATTTTACGTGCTTATATAGATATTTTGATTCCTAACAAATTATTAGATTCATTTAATCTATCTTTTTATTACATTACACAGCCATACTTTTTTAAGCCTTATTAATGTGTCACCAAGTTTTTTAACTTTTGGATTTAGCCACTAATCTGGTTTTCTTTATAGTACGCCCCAAAGATGAAAAATGATAAATAATTTACATAATAATATAAATTATAATCATAAAAGCTTAATTAATAATCATTCAAAATACTTTTATAATAAAAAACTATTACTATTAAATATATATTATAATACAAAAAGCACCATTAGTAGTGATAATAGTAATAAAAATGATGATGACAATAATAATGACAACGACGAGTATAACAATTTTTCATCAAACAATATATTTAATGAGAATGATGGAATTAACAATGATAAAAAAGTTGAAGGTGAAAAGTTTAAAAATTCACCTGCATCAATGAACACAATATTAAAAAATTCTTTTGTAAAAGAAAACGACTTGCCATGGAAAGGTGAAGAAGAACCAAGTGTAACAGTTTTAAGAATGTTAGTAGATAAATATCCACCTTTAAAAATCAAAAGAAATTCAATTAAAGAATACATTGATTTTCACAATATAAATAAAGTCAACAACAATATCAACAATACTAATCCAAATATAAAAAATGATTTATCACTTGATTATAATTATGACAAATATAATTACTTGCAACAAAAATCGACATCAGCCACATCAAACAACAACAACAAAAACAACAATATTGTTCAGAAAGAAAAAATCCAAAAATTAAAAGAAGCAAAACAAACACGTCTATTAAATGCAAAAGATGCAGCAATTGATTACAGTATAAACAAAAAACATCCATCTTCTTCATCTTCTTCATCTTCATTTTCATCTTCATTGAATAATCATAGTGATGATCAACAACAACATCAACAACAACAAAAACTTGTTAGTTTATCAGGATGGAATTCACTTGTTGAATCTCGTATTCAAAAGGCTATGGCAGCTGGAGAATTCAAGAATTTACCATATCATGGTAAAAAAATACCCACCGATCCTGGCGAATTGGTATATTTATTTTATTTTTTGTAGATCATTTGATAAATAAATGCTAATTAGTTAAATTATATTTTATAAATTAGAATCCATTCATTGATCGTACAGAATTTTTCATGCAAGTTTTTTTTTCCTGATTTTTACTTTCTATTTAATTTTCAAATGTCTGATGATCTATTATTATTCTTTTAGGAATCGACTAATTCAAAGACAAGGATCAGCACCAGCGTGGATAGAGATGCAGGCAGAATTAGATAAGGAAATTCAAAATTTTCGGAAGCATGTCAGAGAAATTTGGTTAAAATACGCTAAAATTAATAAATTAGCACCAAACAAAGCTGATTCTGCATGGGAACAATCTAACTTTAATTTTTTTCAAGTATCAATTAAAACTTTAAATAATCGTTTAAGATCATATAATACCATTGCACCTTATTCTGTCAGAAGAATATATCTAACTGTCGAAGGCGAACTGAACAAAATGTATCATGATATGAAAAATATCAATAGTAATAGTGACGACAACGACGAAGATGATGGTAAAATAAAGGTTGGTGGATTAATATTTAATAAGAAAGAATTATTTGGTGATGATGATGATGATGTGAAAAAAGAAAATTATTTAAATGAAAATAAAAATAAAAATGATAATAACCATAGCAATAATAGCATTTGGACAAATATAACTAAATCTTTTAAATGGATTATTGGTCATTAAATAAATAAAATACTTGCTTCACAAAAGCACAGATATGTTAATATGTTAATAATGTAAGTCAATGTTTTTTTAATATTTTTAATTGCTAACATATATTAGAGAGAAGTAATAATAATAGTAAGATAGTAGTAATACAATTCACATTTGGCATAAAAGCATAAATTTTTAAAAAATAAAATAAAATTGCAAAGGATTAATAAAAAGCCAGCACTAAAATTAATCAATTAGGGAGCAAAATTCAAAAAAATGGAATGTAACTTAACATATTAATATTAAGCTTGTGCACATGTCAGATTTCAATAAAACTATCTTTCGAGGGGAAAATATTTTTTTCTTTGACATAAATAAGGTGGGCTTAGAAGAACTCGAATGCAATTAATTAATTAATTAATCTGTGATCACTTCGTTCCCCTGCCACTGACATAGCCTTCATGGAGTGCGCAAGTAGAAACTAGCTTTTTTTCACAAGATAATTATTATTAAAGCGCAAATGATATTTATTAAGAATTAAAGGCAATTTGAAATTATGCAATTAATCTCGCTATCCATTAATTGATTCTGAAATGAATTGAATTGGTAAATTTGAGTGACCAGTTTTTACTAGATGAAGGTTTCATTATTTTAAAAATAAATTATATAATTAATAATATATAATTGCAGTTTATAATTTTAACCAATTATTTGATCTTGATATATACCCACTATAGATGTTTACGATGATCAATTGATTATAAAAACGAACCTCTTAAAATTTCACTAGTTAAGTAAGCATAGCCAAAAATATGGATAGATCTGCGTTACACACATTTAATAGGCATTTCAAAAAAGATCTACAATTTGTATGTAAAGAGTATTGTAAATCGAAAAAGTACCACTTAGAAAAGTGGCGCTGCACACATTAACCAACACCATTTCAAAATTTGCAAAATAATTCTATTTTTATTTTTACCTTAAGATCAAGTTTGAGTTTTGACTTTTATTAGCACCAAAGTTTACAATAAATTTCATTTATTTCGGTCATAATATCCAAATTTGTTGATGATTTACATACTCAAATGCGCGTCAAAAATCAAAATGTCACACTTTTTATTTCATTATTAATAAAAAGGTAATCAAGAAGCTAATAAAACTTACAAAAAGATTAATGCAGTCCCTGCTTATGAAGTGCTAAATCAAAAATTAATTAAAATGCTTATGGGCAAATATTCTAATATTATTGTATCTATATATTAATTCTATATTGCATGATTGTTAAGCATATCAATATATTTAAATTTTAATGAAAATAAGCTATAGAATTTGAATCATATTGTTCTCTTACTGATCTGTAAAAAAGGACACTGGATAATTATAAATGAACTATCATCCCACTATGTTGTGGAACTTTACACAATACTTACCCACATGTTCATCAAAGTCAATGCCATCCAGCAACATAGTAAAATATGTTTCTTTTAATGAAGGAAATCTTTTGACACCAAAATCTTATAAATCTATCGAATAGAACTTAAGATAAGGCCGTGTTACACATAATATATAAAAGTAAAAAGTAACATTTTTTTTAATCCATTTTTTTTAAAAAAAAGATAATAAAAACTAGATGTCCTGACAAAATTTCATGACCATAGCTTTTAAAATGGGCCCAGGATGACAAATTTAGTTGATTTTTGCTGTGGGATGATAGTTCATTTATAATTACCCAGTGTCCTTGTAGAAATATAATATATATAATAAAAATTAATAGTACATGCAATTTTTCATTGGTTGATCTCACTTAAATTTTTTGATACAATAACAACCAATGATAGGATTTTTATCTATGCTAGTTAAGTAATGCTACTTGTATGATTTCCTATCAATAAAAATGATTAAAATTATTCTTTTTATCACCTTCTGATAAATGTTTTTTGTTTAAATCAAGAATCAGGGTCCTAAAGTTCTTTCTAAATTCTTATAACCTTGATCTTGATTGACAAATAATTCAGCATACATCTCTAAAATTTTTTATTCTTTTGAAGTTAAATAATAACTGGCATCATGTAACTCTTTCAATGGTACCTCTGAGTTGTTTTTAAAAAGAATAGTTGTTGTAAGTAATTAGTGAAGAGGCACTGCCATTAAACTTGCTACTTACCTTTTGAAATAGTTTATCATCAATATCTGGTAAATTTGGATTTATTTCTCTCCTCTAAATGCATACATAAGGTTGCTTACCAAAACCTCTTAATGACTGCTGAAACTCTAATAAACAATTAGTGTGTAACCTGCTGAAACTCTGCTAATTGTCAAAATCCCTAAATGTAAAACTCTGCCAAAACTCTAACAAACAATTAGTGTGTTACCTGCTGAAACTCTGCTGATTGATTTCCAGGGGAGTTTTGGCAAACAACCATATGCACACCCTCTCTAAATGCATGTTCATGAGAAATCGTGATATGTTCCCAAGGAGGGTGCACTTAGAGGGGGTTGAGTGTACTATTGATTGCATTATCACCTTCATCATCATCAATAATAATAATATTGTTGTTATTATTGTTCTTGTTATTATTATTATTATTATTATTAGTGGATGATAGTGGTGTTAAGGTGTTAACATTTAATTTTCTTTTTTGTCTTTGTTGAATTATTGATGTTGTATTGTTGTTTAGTTTTCTTTTGACTTTGATGTTGAACCATTGATGTTTATAAAATATATTTAAAAAATAAATGAAATTAATGAAACTAAACTATTACTTATTCAATATTAAAAAAGCTATCCAGTGTGGATTGTTAAAATCAATTTTTTTAATAATTTAAAATTGCCCTCATTTAATTCTGATTGCTGGTCGAGTAAAATATGGACTTTATATACGTTTTGAAATGTTTATGAAGTCATAAGGAGGTTGACTTTTCTTATGTCATGTTTACAAATAATTATTAAAGCAAAATTTATGAATTAACATTAGTCATAGAGTAAGTCATAATGATGTTCTTCTTTTTCAAATACGAATAATATATTGTAACTGCAAAGGATGATGATAGATAGGAAGTAATATTGATAAATGTATTTATGCTTACAATAATAAATGTATTGTGATACTGAATTTCTTAATTTAGTAATGATTACCTCAGATCATGATCGTCGGCCGTTATAGACAACATATAAAACATATGAGAGAATTTTCAGAGGCAGGCCGTTATACACTATAGGAAATTTAATTAAGAAAACCGTTATATAGAAGATTTTTTTTTATATAGTAAAAATTGGGTTCTGATTTACAGTGCGTTATAGGATGGAGGCCATTAAAGAAAGGGCCGTTATAGAAAGAGTGAACTGTATAGCCTTACCTTATTTGTATGTGATTGCTCGTGCAGCCAATAAAAATAAATTAAGGTAAATTAGACGCGTTCCCAAAAGAGGCTAAATATCGAATTGAAGGGCGTGTTGAATAAGAGGCTATGAAGTAAAAGAGTATGTTGAATTAAAAAATAATATTTTGAACTAAAAAGGCTGTGTTGAATTAAAGGGTAAAAAGAGTATTAGCATGCCGAATTAAGAATATGTCAAGATAAAGGCTATGTTAAATTAATGGCCATGTTAAATTAATGGCTGTGAAAAGCCGTATTAAAAATTTGTAAGTTAAAAATAATTCACATAGGTTTCTCAAATGTATAAAAAGACTTGACGTCGATTTGGTCGTAATATAACACATTACCTTCACATTAATGATTAAATTAAAATTTTTAGAATAATAAAATATCTATTTATTTATTGTAATAAAATAAAAATAATTTGACATGTGATGTGATTTATTGTCACAATAATAATAATAATAATAATAATAATAATAATAATAATAATAATGAAGACGACGGCGAGAATTCAGCCCTTTTTTATAGATCTTATTGACAAATAATACAAATAATATCCGAAACATGACACAACACCTAAAATGTCTACGCCATCATTAAATTCTAAATTTGAAAAAACAGCCCAGTGGAATGATCATCATGTTCAAGTTACCTTCAAAGTTAAAGCAGGTCTTGTTTTAGATCAATTATTTGTTTTTTTTTTAAAAAAAAAAGTTAATTACAATAAATATATTTATTTAAATTACGGAATGTCGAACAAGCAAGCATTGTCGAAGGAGCTGGTGCAGTAGCTGTCAAGGCTTTAAAATGTGTGATAGCTGGTAGAGAAAACAAGGTTTGCCTTGCATTTAGACGATATGAAATATTTTTGTTAAAAAAGTAATAACATACATTCATAAATATTCATATTATTAGTTGGAGTTACTGAATGTCTGATCCAAAAATGATAAAGGAGATAAAAGCAGCAGTCACAATTTCCAGTGTAGTAATTCGGCATTTTGTTGAAGCCCAAATAAGAATTTTCTTTTTTTTTATATATATAAAGTATATCATTTAAATAATAATAATTATAGATTTTAGAAGCAACAATTAATATATATTACCTTGATGAATCTGAAGTGCTTACACCAGCTGACGAACAACATCACATTAACAAAAATAATTACAAAGTTCCATTTGTACGTGAAGCAAGAATTTAGATGAAGCATTTTGTAGATGCAGCGCAGGAACGGAAAATGTGGCAGAGTAAATACATCTCAAATGAAATCAAAAAGACTTCATTTATGAGTAATTTATACTAAAGAAATCAGGTACCTTATCATTTATTAAAGGAAACTGCCGAATTGAAAAGGCTTCCAGCGTTGAATTTTCTGCTGATGGTGTAGCAGCGTAATGTTTAAAATTATAAATCTTATTATTTTATTGTTATTTACATATAGACCTGCAAATACTGCAATGATGACGCAACTTGGATGTGATGGTGTGTTTGTTGGTTCCGGAATATTCAATCTAGTAAAAAAAGAGCCAAAGCAATTATAGTTCAAGCTGTCATTTTATTATAATGATCCTAAAAATATTAGCAGACGATATCTGGGCGAGCATATGTAGGTATGTTACAATCAATATTAATATGTTGCTTTGTATAATTATTATCATTTTTAAACGTATATTTATTTATTTTTTTTTCTAAAATAATAATATTAAGGTCTGGCGTATTAATTAATATCGATCGATACCATTGCTTGTGAAATTAATTAACAATCCATATAAAACTAAATAAAATTAATGCATGCTTATTTTTAATTGTTATTTAATCAAAGAACTTTGCTGTTTTTAATCAATATATATTGTTATAATGTATAAAAATGGCTAATAAAAAGAAGAAATGTTCAAATAAATATAATTTTTATGTGAAGTTGGTTCTTTTCTTTTTAAAGTTAATAATAATAACTAAAATAAAAATATTTCCCCGAAATAGCTTCCTTAGCGTAGTGGTTAGCGCGTCAGTCTCATAATCTGAAGGCACCAGTTCGATTCTGGTAGGAAGCAAGCAGTTAGCTTATAATATAAAGGAATCTCTTTCCATTCCTATAATTTTAATCATTATAATGATTTACAATTTGATCGAATAATAAAATTTTTTTATTAAAATTTTTTTTATCAATGAATGAATGATTAATTTAATTCATTATAATTAGCTGTTTTACGGTTTCGGATTATAATAATTTTAACTTTAAATTGTTTAATATTTACTATATTTGGTTTAATGTAATGTTAACAATATCATTCATTTCGTCATTTTTAAAAAAAGTTTAATTAGGAAATATGATCTAAAATAAATTAATTTAAACATTTTTAATAAGATTTAAAAAGTTATTATCAAGAGGGAAGAAATATTTATTACACAAAATAATAAATATAACTAATGCACATACATACATATGAGAGAGAAAATTTGGTGATCTACAAGTTAGTTATTATCCTTCTTTGAATCAATTGAATCAATTGAATATTATTTTTTTACCCACAAAAAAATTAAATTTAAAATAATCATTATATTATGTGATATATTTTCTCCATCAATACAACAATAAAATATTAATATATTAATATTCGTGTTCAACAAGAATAATAATAGTAGTAGTAATTAAAAACGATAATAATATATATAAAATAAAAAATAAAAAATAAAATAAAATAAAAATTAGTTTTTCTATACAAGAAAATATAAAAAAATCAAAAAATTGTTTTATACAGTTCCCTTTTTTTCTCCTAACGATAATAATAATATGTAATAACTAATTAAATAAAGGAGAAGAGCGAGGAAATAATAATTAAATCAATGAAATAAAAAAAAATATACTATTAGAAATCTATAACTACTAAAAAATATATATAAATATTTATAATAAATAAATAAATAAACAGATAATATATTTATTATATATAAAAAATATATTGTTCTAAATTTTCAATGAAAAATTTTGCCATACAAGTCTCATTTTGTTCATCTCTTATTAATGTATACGCATTATCTATTTATTTATCTACCAATCTATTTTTATATATGATGTAGTTATGCCCACATCTCTAATTTCGGTATTATATTTGGTATTGTAAAAGGATTATATGATTCTTGTAATTCCTCCCATTCCATATTCCATTCTGTAGGCATAATTCCTCCAATTGGACCTAAAACATATTTTGCCAAATCTTTTGCACACATCAATCTTTCATTCCATTTGACATTTGAATTTAATACTTTTTTTGCAAGTTTACCACCACTATCATCCCAAGTTTCCCATCCTTCAACACATCTTTTTAATTTTTCTGGCCATCTGTTCCATAACCTTTCTTGTATCCTCACTAATCTTTCAACGAGTTTAACCAGTAAAAAATGCGCCGTTGCTTCATTTTGTACATAGTCTATGTCCTCTAAATCTCTTAATAAATCTGCTATTTCATACCTTGGTCTCCATCTATCTTTATCCTCTAGTGCTGGTGGTCCTGCTTCCCAACGCTTTTTGGCTAAATTTTGAAATGTTGGAAGTATATTGCTTGGATCATAAATTATACGTCCAAATGCATAACACTTTAAAAATATGCCGGTTGGATCATTCTTTAAAACATTGCGTATATGTGTTGGTGGGTGAATAAACATTTCAATCTATCAAATGCATATATACATGTTATTGTTATTATAATTATTTCTAATTTACCAAGAAAAAAAATATACGTATATATATATATATATATATATATTATATACCTCTAATCCATCGATGACTATATTTCTACGACATTTTTTATGTGGTTTTATTAAAACATCCACATCTACATCACTGAAAATTAAAATTTTAAATTGTTAACAATTAATATTGATTGATTAAATTACAGGATAGATAAACAAATAAATTCACTAATTAATTAATTAATTAATCAAAAAAAAAAAAAATTTTTTTTATACCTGTGAGGACAAGCGTTACCGTATATTCTTGAGCCATGAGCAAATAAAGCAAGCAAGTCGTCACCAAATTCTTGTGTTAATATTACTAGTATTTTTGCATAAATGCAATCATTTGTTTTTTCCGAGCTTTTTCCATTAGAACTTGATAAGTATATATGTGGAGAAGCAACTTGGTTTTGTGCTGGTGTTGTTCGACTTAGAAATTTCATGAAGGGCAGTGTATATTTTGAAGTAGAAGGTGTTCTAAATGGATTGCCAAAAATCGGTGACATAAGGTTTTGAAACCGAATAAGTATTGATAAGATGAAAGAGCAGAATAATAAAAAGAAGAATAATAAGAGAACCAGAAATAAAGCAGAGAAACAAAGAGGAAGAATTAAAAAAAAATAAAGTAAATAAAACATATATGTATGAAAAAAATTTACACTTAACAAAGTGGGAATTTTTTTAGTTGTGGGGAGGAAAAATAAATTTGTTCTTTATTATTAATTATTAGGAAAAAAGTGGGGAAAAGTCGATAAAAGTGTGTTAAATAAAATAAAATTTTTTTTTGAAGGATGATAATAATAATTTGAGTGGATTTGCAAATTAATTTAAGACTGTGAAAATATAATGAAAATATCATGAAAAGTATCGAAAGGAAAATTTCAATTTGCATATTAATCTAAATTTGGAAAGTTTTTTTTTAATCATTCCGGCTTTAATTAATTTGTTTATTTGGTTTTATTTTGTTAAAAATTGTAGAAATAAATGATTTTAATTTGTATAATTGCAGAGAAAATTGAACGATTTAATTGATGAAAGAATAATAGTGTAAATAATATAATAATAATTGAAACAATGAATACTTTTATGCATATTTATACAACATTCATTCATTCTTCTTCATTCATCACCTTTTATCATTATTATCATTATCATCATCATTATTGTTACTATTTTATTACCAATGTTGTGAAATGATGTACCAAGCATAGCTTTTTACCGAGCAATTTTCCTAAATATAATGTAGTATTATAAAGGTCATCATTACATACAATCATTTTAAATCATCATTATCACCTTTAAAATTTCTTTTTTAGAATAGAGTTGATATTGTGCTGTGATATAATTGAGGTGTGATTATGAATGATTATATGTTTCGAAAGAATTAGGGGGTTCAAGCATTTTATTAAACGTGATCAAATAGACCAAAAATTTTCAACTTGTAACTTTTTCATTGGAAAGAGTTGGAGGTGGCGAAGAAGGAGCATGTCAATTTGGGGCAAAGTTAGAAGGATGTGAGCAAATGCTTGGCAGATTGAGAGAACAAGAAGAATGAAGATGAATAGCAAAAGACGATGTGTGGGAAATGATAAAGATTCTTGAAAATAACAGGTTCAAAATTGTGGAGATAGATTAATAGAATAGCATACAAATATTATCAACAAGATAAAAGATATATACAAAAAGAAAAAGACACCAATAACTTAACGAAAGGAAAGAAAACGATGGGTTAAACAAAATTTAATTTAATTTATCTTCATAATCTTTCATCACAAGGTCAATCATTTACATTATAAACTTCCATCACAAGATAAATGATTTACTTCATAATCCTTCGTCACAAGATCAATCATTTACCTTATTTCAAGATTATTCAACAAACAAACCTATATTGTTTTTAATATCTGATGATTTTAAATCTGTTGAAAAATCGTTACTTTTGAATTAATTACCCCAGTTGTTTCTGTCCAAAGGCATCTCTTATGATTGAAAATTATATATTAAAGATTTGATCACATTTTTGTTTTTAATTAAAGGATTTTCTTTTTTTAAGTTGAGGGATAATGAACCTAGTCGCCAGTATGGTTTGCACTATCATGTGTTTATTGTGTATGTGTGATAATATTGAATTAGTCCTTGATTTCTTTTTTTTTTTTTGTTACTCGACATCAGTGTGATTCAGTCTGTAGAAAGATCTTGCATTAGTTTTGGATTGTTTTCAGTAATTCATCTTCACTAATTACCACAAGTTACTATATACGAGAATCCTGTTTTAAATTATTTGCTACTTCTTATATTACTGATATCTCCAAGTTTATAGAAACAAGTGCGTAGAATTTATTAACAAGGTGATAAATAAGTTTCAACATTTCACCTGCTAAATGTTCCAAATATTTAGAATTTTTTCATCTACTACTGAAGTTTATAATGTGCAAGGATCCTAGGGACCTTGACGCGACAGCGTGAAACAAAGTCAAAGAAATATTTGCGGTTCAACCTTTAGAGCCTCACCAGTTCTTATTCGGCTGATTTTCCAAACTACACTCAACAAGTTGTTGAATACAACCAAGCTCATTCAATTCATAGGTCTGGCACAACGAATTACGCCATTGTTGAGTCGTTCGATATGATGATATAATGAAAATAGGAAATGAATGTATGACTAGAATTTTTTCTATAAAAAGATAAGATCTTCGATGAATAGTTATAACAAATACTAAAACAATTCATTCATTTGTAATAAAATCATTCATCGCTTCATGTTCTCTAAATAGAATTTAAATAATTACCAATGAAAATTTCGAAAAGTAGACAAAGTATTACAAGAAAGATAAATTGTTTTTTGATTCTTTTTTTTTGTCAATCGAAATCTTATTATCATCTGTATTTTTTTACGCTTTAACTTGAAATATCGAATTATTTTTTTGGGAAAAAATTGAATTTACTACGTAACAGTAATTATCCATATTTTAATGGTTGCATGATTTTTTATTACACAATGAAACTCAATTTAGTAGAGTTGCACTTAATAAACAAACAATGTTCATTGAATATTCGGTGACCAAATATAATAAATTAAAAGTATAACTAACGTCTCGTGTAACTGAATCGAGATGAGATTTTCTCGCGTCCAAATAAACTAATCTGTTATTTCTATTAATTAAATTGATTATTTCACTTGCTTTCACTTAAAATAGTGGAAGAGCCTTCGGTCACTATAATAGGCGAAAGTAAGTAATACAATAATGAGAGGGGAGGAGTCTTCTGCTGCTTATATTTTGAAGAAAAGAAAAGCAAAGGTGTCAAGTTGGATATGGAACTTGATGGAAGTAACTGAAATTGTAAAAAATGATGGATAAAATCCAAAGGAGCTATTTGTCGAGCTAATATTTCCGAAGCTTCTGATACGAATCTACTAGATCTAGCTATATAATACTCTTGTGGCAATACAACGACATCAAAAGGAATTGAAAAGGTTGTTTTTTTTTTGAAAAAAAAATATCGATAATTTTGATAGATGTAAAATGATAATAAATTTAAAATTTTTTATTAACAATGAATATTCGCCGACTATTCATTTAATGATAATTAATTATAAAGCGAATAAATGAATATTCGGCGGGTAAGACCTCTACGATTTAGCGTACCTTGATTTAACGGATACTAATTAAAAATCTCGATTTAATTAATAGCCAATTGCCCAAACAGAGATTCACACTGTTAATCCATATTGTGATGGTTACACAAGACATGATATGGCGGGCGGGTATATACTAAAAAAGTAAGAGAGTTATATGAAATTTATCGATTATCGAGATTTTATTTTTTTATTATTTATGAATATAAAATTATCAAATAGAATTTTAATATAACTGGTCCTGAAAAATCAAGGATTTAGACGATAATGAATTTATCGAATATGAATTTAATTAATAACTTTAATCTCATCAAACTTTCTTTCGAAAGACATCTATGGCTTAGTTGGCCCCACATTTGCTTCCTCGGCACATCATTTAACCAATTTAATAATTCTTTGTTTATATCAGAAACTTTTGGGATTCCATCAAACTAGTATTATGACTTTTTTGCTGTTTTCACAAAATAACTATTTTTTTTTCCTTCACAAAACTTCCTTTTTCTTTTTTTTCCATGAATAGGGTACCTATTGCTAGTTTATTGTCGATTTGAAGATAAACTTCTTTGACACATTTTTTAATTCAACCATACTTTCAATTATCAGAATGGATGATGGAATAGTACCCTGATTTGGCCAGCTTATAAAATTTCAACCCAAATTCTCTAAATTCGAGTCATAATTGTTGCAAGCTCAACCCGAACCCGACCTGTTGTAGGCAGTAGACCTCAAATAACATTTCATTAACAATAATATTATCGTTACCTTTTATACTTTATTTACGATTTCTCTAATTAAAGTCAAAAGTTTTAGAATTATTTGATAAATTCGGCCCGTGTAGCGAACAAAAGTGAAAACCTTTGGGGAAATTTGATTACCACATTTATATCGAAAAAAGTCAGGAAAAACATACATGGATTCTTTATTCAGAATCCTAGAAGTTGCTGATAAAAAAAACACGCATATATAATATAGTTCAATCGAGATTGGACAAAGAATTAAATTGACAATTATGACCGAATACTTTCACACACGTGGGTTAACTTTTTTCTGAGGCGTCAGTTTCAAACGAATTAGAAATCACTCTATTGATACTATCATTTATATAATTACAAGGTTATTTAGAATACATACTGATATCAGTTGTGAATTTTAAAAAATCGAATTTTCTTGGCGATTAATTCTCTATTTATTTCACTAGGATTTAATTGACAACATCCTCTACGAAAAAGCACAAATTTGATGGCACAGTAAAGATAGTTAAAACGATAAAGTAATCATATTGATCGGATTCTCTAGAGGAAAGAAAGTAACAGCACAAAAAGATGGCGGTCATGTAAAGTTGTACATAAATACAACGAGTATTTTAAATGATTTATTAAAAACAGTACCAAAGGAAAGCGAGAGAGCCTATTTATCCAGTCAACAAGTAAGTATTAAAATCGGAAGCCTGGTGATAGAATAGTGCTGGTTGTTTATATTTGATATACAAAAGATCAGAACATTCACTTTGGTCATTATTGTTATTAAATTCTTTTTGATATTATAATCCTGTAATTGAGCTCATTGTATTAAATAAAAGAATGATAAGTGTATTATTAATTCCATATTCCATAAATGATTGTTCAGATATAAAAATAAATTACCTGCCACATCTCATTTAATTTTTCTATTTGATGATCAGCTTTGTGTATGGATGATTTTTAATGTTACTTTATCATATAAAGAAATAATAATGCACTTTCGGCTATTTAGATCACGCAATATTGGATGTACAATAACAATTACATTATTTCCCTGTCGTTATCGACTGATTGTCATAAAGTAAATCCAAAATAAATAAATAAAAATTTTTTTAAATATTAAAAGATCTATTTTTTTCTTGGCATTTGTTATGTTGCTAATTATTTGATTAATCGTATCAGTTGTCATTATTCTGCACAGATCCAATATCAGTTATATCTTCTAAAATAAGATATAATCGTTATTATCATCATCGTCATCATCGTCAACTTAGTTGAAAATGGCCTTTAACTTTTCAATTAAATTTATCGTTTAGTGGTCAGATACGGAGTTTTATATTATTTCATAATGAACTTCAAGAACTTCATAAGTACTTTATCGTGCTCAGCTGTTAAGATTTATTTTCCTCTTCTTTTAGCTTAATTAGTTGATCCACTCGGTTATCCTTTTTTCGGTGGTTGTTACTTGTATACCCATCATGAGTAGTTGGCGATGATGTTAGCGTCAAATAATTACCTTATTGAATCTATATCGAATACCATGCCTGAAAAAGTTCTCTTAATATTATTTTCATTTAATTCTTCTAATTTACTTTCTTACAGATTGAATGAGAGTTTTTTTGATCGTGATAAATAAAGGTATCAAGTATAAAGTCTTTTATTATTTTGATTTTGATTTTTATTTTAGATTTTAGATTTTTGATGAAATGCGATTTAATTCGTAGTTGTTCTTGTTTGTCACATGAATCACCAATTGATTGAAATTATCAAAATCAACAGAATTTATTTCAATGACTACTATGTGATGCTGTTTATTTGTAGAAATTTTGTTGTTATTAAAATATTTTTCCTTCTAATATAATATAATATATATGTATATATCTTAAAAAAGATCACATCTTTCCATAAGTCAGGTGTCATGTATTGCCAATTGTAGCATAAGTGGCCTTAACAAAATTATCCAAAAAAAAGTAGTATGATAATCAAATGAGTGATACCAGTAAGTTTCAAAAATTTTTTTTGGGTAGGTTCTGCAACAAATTCCACTACTTCTAGAAGCAGGAAAAAGAAGACACATCACAGATTCACATTTACCTTAACTTTAGAAGGCACAGTGTGTGATTTGCCAATCTGACAGGAATAATTAAAAGTTTAGCAGGAATTATTGTACCACGAATAACAGTTGTAACTTCTTTAGAAAATTTTAACTCTTTATTTCTAACATGACCATTAGAATATTCTATTACAAAAGCCAAAAAATAAAAATAAACAAAAGTTTTAATAAAATTTATTTTAAATATGTGCGTATGTGTGTATATGGATAATTAGATATTATTTCTATATAAATTACCTTAAACCTAGTTCTTTAACCTTCTCGTATTTGCTTTAATGAAGTTCCAAAAAATAAATCTATTGTTTAATTGGAAGTGAAATTAAATAAATTTTATTTATCTATTTTCTTTACAAGACGCCCAGGTTTTACTGCTGGAATGATGTAGGTGGAAATGATAATGATTATATTATTATTAATACACTCGCTGATTTACTAATTTATTAGTTACTTGGTATCATTTTTTATATCCTTTGCCAACAACGACTACCACAGCTTGTTAGATCTTTGGAATTCAACCAAAAAATTCTTTACAGCCATTTTTCTTTATTAGATTTCATGTACTACACTATATGATTGGTTGATCAATTAGTATATTCAAAGGTTTAGTATGATTTTGTGATCACAATAATCCCATAATTTCATCCAAATCAGTGCAAAATCATAAATACGACCAATTTCACATTTTGTTTATTCTTTATCTTTGTGCACGGGCATTATCTGCGCCAGTGAGGATTCATCCGAGGCCAGATTATTGCTAATTGCAAACTATACCAATTGTCGTCTCTACGACTCCTTAGGGAGTCGGAGAGCAATATTTGGAGGAGGTAACTCCTTATTATTATAGAAATTATACAAATAAGCGGGCGGGTCAATATTAAATAAACTTTTTTTTTAGACCGAGGGAGAATATATCACGTGACTTCAAAAGGCGCACGCGTGCTTTAAATCTCCCTTACATTATTCCGTACCACGCAGAAATTTACTACAAAAAATGCATTCGCATTATGATTGATGATTGTGCTACAAACTACAATTTGATGTCAGGATGATTGCTTCATAATAAATCACAAAAAAGTACTTGTATGGAAAAAATAGGCCAGGCTCAATCTTACCGGAAGAAGAAGCTTCAGATCGATTTGTTTAATCGAATCTATAAAATAAAAAAAGTTTAATAAAATAAAATTCATTATTTTTTTGCGCAAACGGTCCAACTCGAATCAGAATCGCAGGAATTATTGTCTAAGAAAACATCACATTAAGTAATAAGTATAATGAAAGATATTCTCAGTGATAATATGTCACTTCAATCGCATTATAATTATATACATTCATATTCACCATTTTTATTCTTTATTGTGTGAAGTACAAAGTGGTATAAATTGCCCGTTTATTACCACGTGCGAAATTATTTTCTATCTTTGTTCTTTATTGAATTACACAGTAACTTGATTTTATTACCAAAGCAGACATTTAATTTGCACTTTATAATAATATTTTGCAACGATTTAAGATGTTGTTTACGTTTTCATCAACAATTTCAATTTCTTCTTCCATTTGAATTTTGAACCAATTCCGTTGTATAGTTTAAAATCGCACACTAAGGCGAAGATAAACTGTTGCGCTAGATGAAGACATGTTTTAGTAATTTTGTCAATAAAAAATTGTAAGAGTATTATATAAATAATATAGGCGGGTCGAATTATTGGAATCAATTATTATTGTAAAAAAAAAAAATAATTTATTTTTTAATTAATTATTATTAATTATCCGACTGGTTGTGAAGACCGCTTTTTTTTCTGCGCACTAATTTTTGAGTTTGCACCACTCCAATCCAACGAATCCTATATAATACAAAATAATGATTAATAATAATTAAAGATTTAGAATTATTATAAGCATGTTAAAATAATAAATACTTGATGATTTAATTTTTTCATTTCTTCGATTTCTTTACTTGGCTCAGTATTATCTTTATTGTAGGCAGTATTAGAATGAGCTATTTGATCGGTTGTTCCTGAAATTGACTGCTCTGTTTTATTGTTTTTTTGTCCAATATTAATATTATCATTGTTGTTTTCGTTGTTATCTTTATTTTCTTTATTATCTTGGATTCTTGTGTTTTGAGGTTTTTTTTTATTTGCTTTATTATTAAGAGATCTTGTCAAGATTAACGAATTCGAATTAAAAATTCGTAAAAATTTGATTTGATTTGAAGGGTATTTATTTAATATTGAATTCATTTTTTTTTTTTTTTTCAAAATTTTTACCCACACGGAAAACTTTTATAATAAAAAATATCAAAGATGATGTCATAAAAACGTATCGTGTAACTTCTATTATTACTATATGTGGAATGTACCACCTATATAATGTTTTATGATCAACAAACCTACTACCAAAGCACTCTTTCTTGGGTTTTGCTGCTTAATTAATTCGTATAGCATGTGTAAATCAACTAGACTTTGTTTTGGAAACTCCAAGGCTTGGGGTAATACATGAACTTCAGCATAATTTTCAAGAAATCGCAACATTTTTGCTTCCACTGAGGTATTCATTATACGAGACCATTGTTTATCAGGCGATTAAAAGCAAACCTTGCCATATTTTTTGACAAAGAAGCGTAGTAAAGGTCCTTTTATTATATGGGTTTCTTATTAAGACGTTTTGTGAAAAACCATAGACGCAAAAATCTTTTCATTTATTATTATAAAATAAATTTAGAGAGGCTACAGATTCTAAGTATAAAAATTTTTCAATTTTTTATATATAATTTTAAAAATTTTTTTTTACGTAATAGTAAATTTTTTAAATTGTCAGACAACAAAAGTTATTTGACAATAAAATACTGATTTATAGCTTGTTTGATGTTTCAATGTGAAATCCAGCCTTGAATAGATTCTACCTTTGGAATTGACTCTTGAGATATTTCATCGCCATTAGTCATTTTCATTAATTCTGGTAATGCATACCTTGAACTAAATAATGATCACTTCTACTAACATTACCTGCATGAAAAAATCCTTGTAAGCTGGTATATAATTAAATTTTTTTTTTCAAAAAATTATATTAATTAATAAAAAACATTGTCACTTAAATATAGTTTATAAGTAACAAGAAATATATTTCACTGATGTTTGACTTGGTAGGATTATAATTTAGTTTCAGGTTTATTAAACTTTGAAGATTGTTAATATTTAAAGAAGTTACAACAATGCCAAGTAGCACTTATAGCAGATTATTAACTACTTTTAGCTGATGATCCTTTTCAAAAAAAAAGTTAAACAAATCACCAAGCCCATTTTTGACATTTAACATTAGTAAATCATCAATTAGTCATCACTCTATTTTATTCTATTTTATTTTATTGGACAAAATCATGTAAAAAGTCGTGTTATTATTTATAATACTTCAAAAAGTATAAATATGCTTGAAATCTCCTTCAGTGAAAAGAAATTATAATACAATATCCTAATGCTTTGTGATAATAAAAAACAATAAACAATTAATGTTTCGACTTGGGGCAACTACATAGTAAAAATCAGTTTCGACCTTATTTCGACCCTATTCTGACCAGATCTGCAAATGGTCGAAATAGTTTCGACTTCATGTATACATTGGATGATTCGTCTCCATCCAATCAATAAAAGACATCAGAAAAAAAAATTAAAGGTGCACACTTATAATTTCTTCGAACAAACCGAAGAAAAAGATCACACCAGCAACGCATATAAGATTCCTCATAAGCCAGCCAGTTAAGTAAAAAATTATAGATTTTCTTTGCCTTTTCGTTATGAATCTCTGGATTATTTTCTGATAAATAAAGATTAAAAAAATTTACATATAAATTCTTTATAAATTAAAAAATTACCTGAAAATTTATTTAAATTATCATTTGCTTCAGTATCTAGATGTTTTTTTATTTGTCTCTTTATTTTTTTTATATTCTTTTTCATATCGACCTTGTAAAATTATTTCTGAGAAAAATGAAGCGTGGTCACCTTTAACAGAATCGATATCTTCATTATTTTCATGACTTTTACCGCGACCTCTACTAACTGCTATAACTTCATGACTTTCGCGACTTCCACGACTTCCGCGATTTCCACGATTTCCTTGATTTTGTTTCATTATACAGTAAATAATATATTAAAGGAGAATTTTAGTTTGAAAAAAAATTTAAACTATTATAATTTGCGTTGTAAAACTAATTTCGTTTAACAACGTGATGTTAATCAAATATTTAAAGTTGTACAACTCAAATTAAAAGCACATTCAAACCTCTATATAATATGTAATAATAATCATACCATGCATCACGAATTGCCTTTGAGTTACGGCTTGAATCGCGAATCGCCTTGAGTTACGTCTTGCGTCACGAATTGTGTCCTACATCTTTTGCATCATGAATTGTATTTTGCGTCACGCATAACACAAATTGCAACTTTTAAACTACTATAACTTTATATTTAATTAATTATTATTATCTGAATCACAAAATTTTCTTATTAAACCGAAATCAACCCGAAAATTTCGAGTCGGTCTCGAGTTTTCCTTTAAAACATTCGGATTGACATTTAACCTGACCTGTTAGGAGTTTTAGTAATAATTACATAAATCTGTGTCAGAAAAAATTTCCTGATAAATTCAATTAATAAAACTCAACAATTGTACAAACAGCTTGTCTTTATGAAAAACTTTGTATATACTTGTATAAAATAAAATTACTATAAAATAATTTGATAGTTTTTTATAAATTATAACAGATAAATAAAAAAATTTGCCTAATTACCTATGTTGTTAAAGTTGTTAATAAATAATGCATTATAATTTTATTAATTGAATTTCCATAGCAAAATTGTAGTAAGATCAATTTGACAATTTGGCAATTTGGCATTACAGCATAATTCATTTTTACACTGCTATATTAATTCAGCATCACCTGATTCTAATTCACCCCATATATAATAGTACCTATGACCCAATTATAATTGTCCGGCCTATCATTGTCCTTGGACTGGTTGACATTGATCTTATCAATTAAGTAAAAAACAGAATAGTTAATTATTTAATTTGGTAAGATCAATACTATAATCAATCTCTTTCTGCTTTATTTATAGATTATTGAAAGTTTTAAAACTATTAAAGCACTTTTGCTTCAAAGATACAGAAAAAAGCATTCATGATTTGATTGATGGTTTGTTTTACTGTGGGACAACATTATTGTTTAATTAATATTTTCTACTTCTAAAAATAATATATTTCGGAAATTATAATAAAATTAAAACATTATCATAAAAAAATTTAGAATTATGTTTTTATTCTTTTAATATTAATAGATATACATCCAAATACATTCCATTACTAAATAATCTGTTGATATCATCAGCATTTAGATGTGGCCAGTGTTGATCAATTAATTCCAATTCCAATTTATTCTTGTTGTTGATGTTAGTAGTAGTGATGGTTTTTGATTTTTCATCATTTCTTCCATCATTATCTACAAATAATTTTGATAAATCTGTGGTGGAAGGAGTTACTAATAATGTTCTATAAAAATAATTAAATACAATTATAATAGATATATATGCATATATGTTTAATGTTTATTAATTTATGTTTTTAATATAATGTCATACCTTTCATAATGGTTTAAAGCAGAACTATTCTGTTGAAATATTATTTTTTTTTTCAAATTATTATTATTATTTTGAATAATTGATTTTTTATTAATTGCAATTTTTTGATTTAATAAATTTTCTAACAATTTCAATGGTGAACCAGCTAAATCAAAAACATTGACATGAACATTTGTATCTGGATAAGCAAAAATTATATAAACAACAACAATAATCAGTTTAATTTTATAAATGTTTATAAACCTTATAATGTTTATGTTTATAGAATAACTTACTTCTCCAGGATTTATGATATCCAAGTAAATGTCTTGGTGGCATATAAGTTTTATAAAAGATAATATTTGTTATAAATCTTTTTGAAGAATTTATTTCTAATTAATTAATCAAAAAAAAAATTATTATTATTATTGTTGTTGTTATTTTAATTGTATTTATTTATTTATTACCTGGTAAAATAATTTTGTCCCCTACTTCACACTGATAATAATAATCATTATTATTATTAAATTCTTCGCAATTTCTAAAGCCAATTGATTGATATTGCAATTTTTGCATTATTGGTACAATTCCTGCTTGGTGAAGTTGGCCAAAGATTAAAACAAATATTAAATTAAACACCACCCAAATAAACTAAATTTTTTATATTACAATAAATAAATAAGTTGTTTTTTTATATTTAATAAATAAATAAATGTATGTTAATTGAAGTGTTTACCCAGAAAGGCTTAGGAATTATGTGAATTCTATCAGATGGAATTATAATGACAGGTATTATCAGTGGTAATAAAAATCTTAATTCTTGATGTGGAATCAAAGACAAAGAAATAAATCCACACAATCCTGCATAAACAATAACTATTTAAAAAAAGAAACAAAGTTAATAAATAGTGTATTATAAATGTATGTATATAGTGAATGGCCCTAATTTTCATCCAAAATTATTTTTATTAATCTTGGTCAATATGCTATCAATAAATAGGTTGATTCATAAGTTCACCTATCTATAATTATTCCTTATTACCAGTTTTATATGTTTTCCTAGATGAAAACCTTATGTTAAGTATGGTGGTGTAAAAATCTTTCATTGTCAATACTGTAATTGGACCAAATAATAAGAAAAAATTGAAAAAATGAAGATATCTTGGATGTAATCCATGCTCTGCTAAATTTTTGGTGTCAAGATTATAAATTATATTATTCAATGGTGTAAAAATTAGATTTCCCTAAAGAAAATAAATAATAAATAATATTAATATTTTATTATGACAACAATTATGATTGCTATTATTATTATTACTTACATTCCAATCAATACCAGCTAATTTCTTATAATTATTTAAAATTAATAGAAATAAATTATCTAATGATAATACTTTTCCTTCTAGAGTAAGTTTTAATACACCAAAATATAAAGAATCAATTAGAACACAAATTATTGTTGTCAATGAAAAACCCAATGCTGTTGGAATCAATTCAAATAATTTATCCAGCCTTAGGAAATTATTATTATTATTATTATTATTATTATTAAATAAATATATAAATAAATTCCATTTCATTCATTAATACATACATACCAATTCCTATTTTGAATCCTTAGAGTGAAAAATATATGATGAATAAATGCTAAACAAATCGGAAAAGTGTATAAAATAAACGTTATTCTAGTAAATATTCCCAAGGCTACAAGACAGCCAAAAAGAAACCCAAGATTTGTTGGAAATGCCTCCTAAAATCAATAAATATATATATCATATTTTAAATTCTGATTTGGTTGAATAAAATAAATTAAACAATAAAATAAATAATGAATTTTTTATATACAGATATATATATGTATATGTATATAAGTCCAAATGTTTCTTTTTTACCTTAATAATCGAGTTGTTTATTTGTGGTGAAGAACCCTTGACATAAATACAGAAACAAAGTGCAAAAACTATTGACTCAAAAGAATTTGAAAATGGCCTTGTATAAAAAGTTAAAAGAATATATGAAGAAGAAAAAACAAGCAATGATCGAAATGTATTTCTTGGATAAAATTTTTTAGCAATTGTGTATGCTGTATAATCTAAATCAAATAAATTTATAATAGATAAATTCAATTCTTCTTGAACCATATAATATAGATTGCAAATAAACAATCAAAAATTTTTCCTACCAATTCCAAAAGATAATATAAAATAAGAGATTCTTTCAGTTAAAAAAATTGATTGTGAATTAATTAAATCTATTAAAAAAGTAATCATTTTTTAAAAGTTTTGATCTAATTATATATAATTAAAAACCTAATCACCAACGCACACACATATATATCTATTTACTCATACCATTAAACCCAAGTTTCATTACAAGTGTATTTATAGTATTTAAAATGCTAAACGGAACTCCAATTGTCAATGCTCTGAAATAAAGAAAATATCTTTTAAACTTTTCTAATTCAATAAGATTAATAATAATAATAGTAATATAAAAAACATACGGAACAATTATAGATCTACATTGTGGACTTTTCTCAAATTCCCAAGGACGAAATACTTCATATCCGAAAATATCTTCTATAAATTTATAGTTGTTATTATTTAAAAAAAACATCATGTACCATATCATCATAAAATTTTATTTGGTTGATTAAAAAGCTCACCACCCATTATTTCAGGTGACTGAAAAAATTCATCAGGATGTATATATCCTGGTAAGGTTGAACTCCATAATCTTAAAAGACACGATAAAAAATAAAACGTCAAATATTGTATATCTTCTAGCATCATGTCAAAAAATTCTTGCTATACTACAAGGTTACACGAAGTCATATATATGGACTTTGTAGTGATGGTGATAAAAAAAAAAAAAAAAATGAATTCAATATTTGAAAAATATTTTGATGAAAATGAAAGATTATTAAACACAGAAGATTTCTATGATGTAAAAATATATGTTGGTATAGAACCAAACACTCAAGAAGTTCAAGAAGTTCATGCACATGCACCTATCATATCAGCTCACTGTCCATTTTTTAGCAATGCGTTAAGTGATGCAACAAAAGAAGATGGATATTATATTATTGAAATAGCTAATATTAGTGACAAATGTTTCAAACACATTCTCACGTAAGTTTAAATAATATTATTTATTTATTATTATTGAATATATAATAATAATAATAATTTATTTAATAATTTATAGATTTTTGTACACTTGTAAAATTGAATTTGAAGGTTTTTCTGGAGCCGAAGTATTAGAACTATCAACTGCAGCATACGAATTTGGTCTAGAGTCACTTTATGAATATACGATGAAATACTTTATTGAAAATCATGAAGAGTATATAAAAAAAAACCCAGTTAAAGTTCTACAATCAATTTATGCCAATGAAAAATTTAACGAATTAAAAAACATCTATTTGGAAAATATTTGTAAATATAGCGAAGAATTATTTGAATCAAGTGAATTTAAATCATTGGAAAAATCGATTCTATTAGAAATCCTCGAAAGAGATGATTTTTATGTTGATGAGATGGTTATCTGGGAAAACATTCTTAAATGGGGATTAGCAAAACATCCTGAAATCAATAACATCAATGTTGAAGATTGGTCATCACGAGATTTTGTTGATTTAGGCAGCACGATAAAAGAATTTCTTTTTCTAATAAGATATGAGAATATTTCTAAAAAAGTGTTTTTTGATAGAATTGAACCATATCAAATGCTTTTTCCCAAGACTTTATGGAAAAACCTTTTACAACATTATATACTTCCAGATGAACATAAAACATTGAGCCGATCTTCGTCAAGAATTTCAAAATTGAATGAATCATCAACAATCAATCAAAATCTTACTTTGCTTTTTGCAAGTTGGATTGATAGAAAAAGTCCACCGTATACTTTACTCAAGGAAGTTAAATATGAATTTAAACTTCTATATCGTAGTAGTAGAGACGGTCTATATGCAACTACATTTCACCAAAAATGTGATAATATCCACTGCACCCTTGTAGTTAGTAAAATACAAAATTCGGAACAATTAGTTGGTGGCTATAATCCATTTAATTGGAATGGGTATGAACATAAAGCTACAACTGAAAGCTTTATATTTAATATAGTTGATAGAAGAAATGCCATTAATACTGCACAATTTAGTTATGTTGCTCATAATGATTATATGTATGCAGTTTATTGTAATCCTTCCAAGTTACCTTATTTTGGATATTGTGATGTTTGGTTTAGTATAAGTAATGGCGTTATTGGTAGTAATCCAAGGACTTATAATAATATCAATATAGTAAATGGTAGTAAATTTGATGAACTAGAAGTTTTTCAAATAATTGTTAAAAAATAAAAACAAAATGTGTTATATTATTTATTGTTATATATATTTTCGTTTAAATAGTTTATAAATCTTTGCCGAGAAAAAATTTTTTTACTAAATTTAAATTTCACATCAATGATAATAAATCAATTGATTATTTAATTGAAAGATGTGTGCATTATTTACTAAAATATTATTTTAGAGAATGTCTCTGATGTATATATGGTATATATGATTATACATAAGTTATAAATTACATCTCGAAGTGAATTATTTATTATAAATATTATTTAATGTATTCCTGGCATAAGAAACCTTGGGTAAAGTGAATCACCCCTATAATGTTTTTTTAAATCTTGAATAACAATATTCTTATAAAATCATCCAATAAATGTAAAATCTGGTTCACACTCATCTAAAATTATACCAATTAATCTATTCAGTCAAAGGTGAAAAGCACCAAAAAATTATTTATCACGAACTATCAAATTCTTTAACTTAAGAATGTATGTATATATATAGTGCAAGCAACTTCTGCGCCGCAGTGTCAATTTTTGAGGAAAAATTTACAATCAAAAATTTTTTTTTGATCCGATATTTTTGAGGGCATTTTCCCAAACCGGGCATTCTCCTAATATTTTTGATCATACATTTCGCGCCTACGCTTGTACCCTCATATTTCACCTGCATCACTCGCTTGTCCTTTCTAGAATCCCGAATAAAAGATGGATTTGACAAAGTTTTTGTTGTTGTTTCTGTTGATGGTTTATTATTAAGTATTTTCGAAATATTAATCGTGGTGACTATGACTGATTTAAATGTTTGATATTTATTTTAATATGAAAGGATCGTGAAAAAAAACATCATTATCTGGTCGTCTACCTTTGTAGTTTCGAAAGTCTAGCAATAATTATGGCATTTAAGCAAGATTTGGCGAAAAAAGCATACAAATTCAATATGAAATAGATTTTAAATTACCAGCAGGAGAGTAATAAAATTTTCCAAATAATTGTTAATTCTATACAAAGACATGTTTAATAGACATGTCCCTTGTTGACACGATGAAGTTGAAAGAGGTGATCTCTAAACCGTCTATAAAACCTAAAAGACCAATCAGAGAAGATGAGGTAACATTACTAAAGGATATCACTGTTCGATACTTATCAAAACCTGGCGAATTGGAAAGTGGACACATATGCAGAACAACCTAATAGAACGAAAAGGAATTGACTTTTTTCAGTAATTAATAATACTGCTATTTGTAAAATCAATAAATCGATAATTTTGAAAATTTTTTTATTGATATAAATGAAAAAACTTTCTGACAGACTGTTAATTGAATATTTGTAAATACAATTGCGGAAATATTATTCCAAGCTTACTTGGTTATTTGAACCTTTACATTTTAAAGTTTATAGTAAAATCAATAAAATTGATTGATAACTTTGAACCTTTATAAATATTTTTACTAATATAAATAAAAAAAAACTCTCTGACAGGCTATTAATTAGTGTTTGGAAATACAATCGTGGAAAGATTGTTCACAGCTTGCTTGGTTATTGAGCCTTTGCATTTTAAATCTTTGATGATATATATTAATGTTGTGCGTGAAAATCAAATTTGCGTCAATTTGAAATTTATTAATTTTGGGGTTAGGTGTTTGAATACAAAATTCTGATTGGCTAATTTGTATTTCACGCGAGTGAATTTCAAATTGATGCATATTCCAAATTCACGCACAACATTAACGTGTAACATAAAAAATCCTCACATACTAAATTTGTATATTAAAATAATATTAAAAATTGAAAATTTGGACAGAAATTGTAGTTTAATAAATAATCTTATATATGAAATCTTTTCATGAAAGCGATCTATGTCAAATTCTTTGTCAACTGCATTAATATCTTATCATTGTCATTATCATCATCATCGGGACTACTATCAAGACTATCTTCGGATCTGTCTCTATACTATAATAAGATATCACAAAATTAATCTACAACCTACTTAACTTGCTCTCTATTTGAAATAGAAGAATGCGACATTACCACTGAAAGTTCTACATAAAGCAGGTGATTCAATAATCACATAATTAGGATTAACACTCCGTGTCTTTGAATTAAAAGATATCAGTGGAGTATCATGACTAAAAATAAAAATATAGTTTGCTTTTTCCAAATTTAATATTATTTGTTATCACTAGAACCCAATCTGTTACTATACAACAAATTATTTTAATAATTTATTGTGATGTAAATAACCAAAAAAATTAACTCGCAAAACATTATTATTTTTGGTAGTAAATTTTTCTAATAAAGCCACATACTAATTTGTAACCATCAATATCGACCCATGCTGTTTTATGATGTTTTGTTTTTTAATAAAATGAAATAAATAAAATATGTTAGAATGCTAGATCCTTTTTTAAAAATGTTATGTTTAAATTAATAAAGCCAATAATCAGATTTAAAAGTATACAAATGATTATATTCTTATTTCTTTGGTCAAGTTCTCCTGAGATCAACAAACCTTTCGCTTCTACTTGGTTAAGACTTCCAAGACTAAAATTTGTATACAAAACTAATCCCTCAGAAATCAACGAACCTTTTGTACTATAACACAGACTACTATTGTTTTTGATACTAAATATTTCTTGAATTAGACCTAGAATCTACATTTTATGGTATCTACCAGGCTAAGATCTCAGGAAAAGCTTACTTTTTTTTTTGAGTATCATCGTTATATTTATTAATAATCATGGATATAAAAAAGCATGATGTTAATAGTGGAAATTGCCTCCTGGAGTTCTTGAAAATTTATTTTACCGAATTCAGTTAACTGCCTGTTGTCTTTTCTAAATCTTTTATTATAATATTTACATAATGATTTTGTTTTTTCTTCTTCTAATAGTTTCAAAGAATATAGCCTTGAGAAAAATAAGTCATAATTTCTTTTTCACAACTCATTCTATCAAGTAATGTAACGGGGATTTCTCTTTGTTGTGCAATTACAGATATTTTTGTATATTAAAAATTTTTTTATCATTTTTTTTTTGTGAACCTATATTAATTACTAAATTAATATATATATATATATAGTCACTATATGATCTTGTGTAGGAAATCTTAGGATTTGGTTTTAGCGATGGTTCTTGTAGTTGAGTAATCTGTTACCTGATGATTGATTATATTTGAAGCAACTATTTTAATTTTCGCGTCATTCGTACAGTCGTACAAATGGTGATTTGTTTACCACAACGCGCATCACACACCTATTTTTATTTTTCAAAAAATTTTTCATCAAAAAATTAACAAAATAACAAAATGAAAAAAAGGGTTTGTTGATATAAAGGTTTTCAATAATTAATTTATTTGTTTTTTAAAATATAAATGTCTAATACATTATCTAAATTTAAAATATAATATATGGAAAGGTCAGAAAAGGTAAAAAGATTAA